ATTTCTAGGTCAACTGTCCAATTGACTGGGCAACAATTTAATTCAAGGCTTGAAACTTGGTATGGACAATCTTATAAGTCCAACATGGAGTATGAAAGTCACTTTGAGCATTGAAAGTCTAAAAATCTCTGTGCAAACTTAAACCCTAATTTAGGTCATCAGTGCAAGGAGATGTCTTGAGCAGAGCAAAACCCTAATTCCGTCTGGAGTTCAAGGAGTCTTGTGATGAAAAATATTGATAAAATGAGAGGGCAAATTTTGGGGTACAACATGTCACATATTCATTTCTACTCACTTACACTCTGTGTTTGCCTTCTTTATTCTAAACTTTACTTTGACATCGAAGTACCTTACATGTACATTTCTATTCACTTCAACAACCACAAAAATCTAAATATTATAGGTCACTGAAAATCCTTCTAATTCAGATACGATCATATTTTTTCTTAATTGAATGTTATAATTAATTATTGTTAATCTCTCCTCCCTCTTTATATACAATCTTGTAACTTTATGATGAATTAACCCTCTAACAATATTTGGAAAGAGTAACCAATACATGTGTTTTATTTTTTCACAATAGTTCTTTAATTTTTAATTAGTTTAGAGATTAATTAGGGTTCTTTAATATATATATATATATATATATATATATATATATATATATATATATATATATATATATAATATATATATATATATATATATATATATATATTATATATATATATATATATATATATATATATATATATATATATATATATATATATATATTAATATATATATATATATATATATATATATATATATATATATATATATATATATATATATATATATATATATATATATATATATATATATATATATATATATATATATATATATATATATATATATATATATATATATATATATATATATATATATTTTCTTAAAAATATATAGGTATATTGAATGCATAAAATAATTTTTAAATTATAACTTTTTAAATTGTTTTCTAACATGCCTTAATAATCAATTTTTCATTTGAGAAATGACATATCTACCTTATTTTGTTTAGGTATCCAACAAATCTCACATGGCATGTTATGGTAAAGAAAAAACAATTCTCACATGCTGATGCAACCCACGTTGAGACACATACACGCTGCCGACGTTGTTTAGGGAGACATAAATAAGTTGTTTTCTCACTATAGTCATGTCAATTTTACTCATTTTATCTAATCACAAAATTTCAAATTCTTTTTGTTTCAAAGAAAAAAAATCTAGATACTAAGCTACCTGGCCAGTACCCACGTACACGCTGCTGAATGTTGATTAGTGGTTGCAAATTAAAGATTACAATTTCCTTTGTAGTATTAAAATAAGAAATAACATATTACAACTCATATTGTTCTTATTTGTCACAATGGGGTGTCATTAATATTTAATACTACTCACTCCACGACGCAGACTAACTCTGAACAGTCGACATTTGACCCTCTTATATTTGTTTAAAAATTCATCAAACTTGTCAATATGTAAATTGAGTTCATGAACACTTAATTAATATGTAATTAGACTTCACACGTTTAAATAATTTGTAATTAAATTATTGAATTTGTCAATAATTTCATTGGCAAATTATAGTATAGTTGAGTGATAGACTAATACTCTATTTTATTTTTCTTTGAATGATCGACTAATACTTCAAAATGAGTTGTCGCAAATAAGGGGAATCTTAGATTTGATACTATATCAAATTGAAGGGAAAATGTGATGATTGATGATTTTATTATTCCACATAATTCGACTCTTGAGAATATTAGCTCAATGATCGTCCGAAGGCATAAACTCCCAAACAAGTTTAAGATTAAAAGCCTCATTTAAAGCAACCAAGGATTTAATCCCGAGACCACCTTCAGAAACAAGTATGCATTAGTTTTTCTAAGCCACTGTAACTGTCTTGCTTTTTGAGACATCGCCACTCCAAATGAAATTGCAGACTTCTCTCTTAATATTCCTAAGCAACGGAACCGGCCAGCATAAATAAACATGGAGTGAATAAGCATCTGTTAAATAATAGTCTTCACCAACGTCACTTTACCCGCAAAAGAAATGAGGGAGTCTTTTCAAGACGCAAACTTAAGAATGATTTTATCCGCAATCGGTTGAAGGAAAATAACTTTAGGTCTTCTTTTAAAAATGGGCACTCCAAGATAAGAAAAGACATGGAGCCAATGTTGAAACCTTAGAGAGCCGACAAACTGTTCATTCGAGATTATTAAGATGTGGTTGGGCCTAATTCAACCCTACAAAACCGGCTTGTAGGGTGAGGATTGCCCCCACTTATAAACACATGTTCAGGCCATATATTGTCCGATGTGGGACTCTTAACACACCCCCTCACGCCCAGGACTAGACAACTGGAGCGTGGAAATAAATGGTGGATGGTCCACTGGATCTTAAACGAGGCTCTGATACCATATTAAGATGTGGTTGGGCCTAATTCAATCCTACAAAACCGGCTTGTAGGGTGAGGATTGCCCCCACTTATAAACACATGTTCAGGCCATATATTGTCCGATGTGGGACTCTTAACAGAGATGGAGACATTGTGCCTCCAAAAATATAGGATTTACCACAATTAACAACCTGTCCAGAAACAATAGAATAATCTTTGAAAGCAAACACGAGAACCTTGATGTTAGAGACATTGCCTTTACAAAAAATTAGAATGTCGTCCGCATAGAAAATGTGAGAAGGAAACTTTAAATGCCTTGGCCCTGTGATCAAATCAAGAGAGCAAGAATCAACCAACTTGCTTATATTCATGCTAAGAACTTCTTATGTGAGATAAAAAGAAGAGGAGAAAGAGGTTCTTCTTGGCGAACCCCTCTGGTATAATTAAAGAACCCATGGAGAGACCCGTTGATAGAAATAGACAACCAAGCAGAACTCATAATATTCTTAATCCATTGACAAAAAGTTTCAATGAATCCAAGTTGCTGCAAAACTTTGAGAAGGAATTGCCAATTTAAAGTAACGAAAACTTTCCTTATATCCGCAAATTAAAAGCCTCAAAAGCCAACACAATGCAATCTTTAATATTCCTGCCTTAAATGAGCCCACGTCGTTCATGAGAAACCAAATGGGGAATTAGAGGCAAGAGCCTAGCTGCAATAATCTTAGAAATAATCTTGAACTTGATATCAGATAGAGTAATAGGTCAAAGTTAATCCAAAGAATTTGCACTATCACATTTCAGAATGGGCGCCAAAGAACACGAGTTGTAGCCTTGGAGAATCTACCCATAAATGAAGAACTGGATAACAACCTCTGAAACACCATTCTCAATAATATCCCAGAAACTTCAAAAGAACGTTGCTCCGAAACCATCGGGACCAGGCACACTGTCACAATTAAGGGAGAAAAATGCATATTTTATCTCATCCAAAGAAGGAAGCATAGTAAGCAAGGTATTCATATAATCATCCACCAATTTGGGAATAGAACTTTTCACCAAGGAGAGATCCTGCAAAAAAATAAGCGTTAAAAGAAAAACTATTCTGGACGTAGTTCACACTGTGGGAACCAATTTGGGCCGGCTACATGAAAATATCATCCTCGTGTCTGAGAATAGATACAGGCTTAACAGAAGTACTAATTTTAGCAATGTGATAGAAAAAAGTTGTCTTCTGGTCTCCTTCAAGATGCCACTTAATTCTAGATTTCTCCTTCCAAAAAATTCCTCGATATCCAGAGCGAGAGAAAGATTAACTTGGGCCTCCATTTCTTGTCTATTGAAGTTATTATTCAACCCCAAAATCTGAGCATGGGCTTGAATCTGATCTATCTTAGCTTCAGCCAAAATGACATTTTGAGTGACATTCCCGAAAGTTAAGCGATTCCAGGTTTTGAGAAATTTTTAAGCATTTGAAGCTTCTTACAAAGCACCATCATTGGACATCTAAGCACCTTTTGATTCCATCGAGACTCTATCAACTTCTTAAAATCTTTATGTAAAGTCCAGGTTTTAAGAAAACAAAATTGAAATACCACTTTGATAGGATTTATTTGAAATTCAAGAAGAATGGGGAAGTGATCCGAAAGAAGCTTGGTAAGAGTAAAAATATATGTACTAGAACAAGTATTCAACCAAGAAATATTAGCAATACCACGATCCAGACGTCTTTCAATGAAATGAGGATGAGCCCTTTTGTTAGACCAAGTGAAAAAAACACCTTGAGTAGAAATATGAATGAGCTAATTTAAATTAGTCCACAACTAAAAATCAATCATAAGACTCTTTGTAGGGGATTTTCGACCACTATGTTCATGATCCCCAACTATAGCATTAAAGTCGCCAATAAAATTCCAATAGAGAAGATGATTGATTTAAAGAGCATTGTGATCCTCCTAAAGCTCCTTTCTCTTGTACAAATTATTAGAAGCATACATCGCAGCAGTAGCTAAAGACTTATTATCAAGGGAGAAATAAAAAGCCACAAATTGGTCTGAAGAATCAAGGATTATCGGATCAATGTCAAGCTTGCAAAAACACCAAAGAGAAGGAAGAGGATAATTTTTAAAAGCAAAAAACTTATAGCCAAGTTTAAAAATCCAGTTGCACGAAATCTTGTCGAAACTGATCTTCGGTTCAACGATGAAAAGGAAGTTAGGGTTGTGAAGTTTTAACAATCTTTTAAGAGCAAATCTTGAGGGAGGTTTAGCAATTACCCTGATATTCCAATAAAGGCTCTTCATAATGTGATATTCTTAAGGCCTGCTTGGGACCTTGTACTGTATTTATGATTTGACTTCAGATATTTTTGCTCCTTCTTAAGATTGGAGATGGCCGTAGAAAAGGCACCACTATCGCTTTTGTGAATAATATATTTAGGTTCATCATCAATTGCTTCTTTCGCTAAAGAATCCCAAAGAATTCCGAAGAAAATTCCTATCAATTAACTCCTCTGCATTAACTTCATCAATAATCTGTACTATTTCCTAATCTACCAAAGTTGCCAAAATAAAGTCAGAGTTAGTTGAACCAGACTCAACCGAAGTTGAGTAACAAAATTAAGAGGATCATGAGGCACCTAGGGTGATACCACATTTTGAACCAGTGGATCCTTTTCCTTGTCAATTTGAATTTGCAACCAAAATAGTATATGTAATGTCCTTAACCACATAACTCTTCCTTAACTCAGCTTTAGATTTTGGCACATATGCTGGCTTAATCTAAGGCTTGTTCAAAAACTTACAATTTGCCACACAATGTATCTTCTTCCTAGAGTGAGAATAAAAATACGACAAGTTTTCATATTCAATATCTGTGAAAAATGTGAAGCTCTCTCTCTCTCTCGACAAGAACATTGTAATTGAGAGGTTGGACTAAGTCCATATCAACTAATACCCGAACGAAATGGCCAAAAGTATGGTCCAACCTAGATTTGGAAGCATAATAATAAATGAAAATAGGAGTACCAACACTGCTAGCTATGGAAAATAAAATCTGAGGCCTCCAATACACATGTGAAAGACCAAAGAATCTAACCCACACCTGAGTAGTGGTGTTTTACTGCGAAGCAAGATTGAAATCCTTGGACCAAGAAAACAATTTCAAATAACCAGGGTTGAGATTCAACGTACCTGAAGCCCTAAATCTCCTCACATCTTCAGCACTAGCAAAATTAAATTGATAGTAACCCTTACCAAGAGAAAGAACTCTCCAATTTTTCACATCAGCCCCAAATTTCTGCAAGCTTAGATCGAAGCGTGAAGACCGTAAGAGGCATAGTAACCTTAGGCCAAAGAATCCTATCGTGAATATTTTTTTGCATTCTTGAAGTCCAACTTTATACTCATCTTCTAGAATGGTTATAGATGCAAAAACAAGATTTGATTTTGCATCTTGCCTTGAGTTTTGATGATAATGTTACATGGGTGATTAGATAACAATTTGGTTTACTTAGTGTGTAGCTTTTGCTAATAGGTTCTGATTCTAAAGAATTGACACGTGACATCATCAGATGCTAGACTCAACACACTAAGTGATACAAATGCGTGTGCCATTGCTTAAAACGCTTCTTAAAATAATGATTATGTGAATGTTAGTTTTATTTCTTCTAATTGTGACTCTGTAGTAGATCTTTCAAAGGGTTATCAAGCTCTGAAGATTGCAAGCTCTCTTTCTCCAAGGTTCCAAGGATTCTAAAGACAAGGTTTTGCTAAACAATTTTTGAAGACTCTGAAGATTCTGAAGATGAGGTTCTATTGAACGAGTTCTGAAGTTTCTGAAGATATAACTCTGAAGACCAACATGTTGAAGACTCTGAAGACAAGGTTCTGTTGAACGAAGTTCTGAAACATAAAGACGAAGGTTCTGAAAACGGGTTTTGATCCTTCTAAACATGCTTCAACTCATAAATTTTTTGAAGCCTCTGGAGATTAGAAGAGAAAATGAAAGGTGTCACGTGAAGAGATAGTAAAATATTACATCCTTCCACTACCCTAGTTTTGTGGCGCAAGGATTATACCTTTGGTACTATATTGTTTACCACTCCCATTGACCGTTGCCAAGAAACAATTGGAATTTTAGTATTCCTATTCTACCCTCCAACATATTTCTTTTCAACTATAAAAGGAAGAGTTGGAAGATTTATAATCGTTGAACAACTTTGAAGAAGCTCACTGATTAAAATTGCTAAAAGTTTCCAAAAGAACTCTGTAATTTTTGTAAAGCAGGGAACTTTTGTTTGTTAACTTGCTAGTAAGAAACTTTTGTTCATTAACTTACTCTTAAAATTTTTTGTGTTGTTATATGTACTTCAATCTTTTGTAATCTGCTTTTGAGAGACAATCTTGTAAACATAGAAACTTGTATTCGACAGTGAGTTGATTGTTCCTTGAGTGACTAAGTGTTATATGTATACTCCAGAAGTCATTGACAATTTGTTTTTGAGGTTTTGTTCCTTGAGAGACTAGATATTTAGTCAGGATACTCAAGAAGTCATTGACAAATTGTCTTTGAGGTTTTGTTCCTTGAGAGATTAGGGGTTTATTCAGGATTCTTAAGAATACATTGATAGCTTGTCTTTATGGAATGTAATCAATTTGGTTATAGTAGATTAAGTCCTTGATTAAGAAAGATAAATCACCTTGGTGGGTAGACTGGATTAACTTCGTTAACAATGAACCAGGATAAAAATAATTGTGTTCATTTATTTTTATTCTTGTGTTATTAGTTTTGAAATATATTTTATTTCTAGAAACTCAATTCAAACCCCCCGTTCTTCTGTTTCTTGCACCTTCAATTGCAATCTTCCTCTTTTTGATGATGATAAAACCATGTATTTTGATAAATAATTTATACATGTTTAATCACATAAAACAATTCTAGAGTTAGCTAACCCCCCCCCCCCCCCCCCCCCCCCCCCCTTGAGTTATATATTCCCAAAACTTGTTTAATCTTGTTCAAAGTCCCCCCCTGAGTTCAAGACTTAAAGAAGTTTTGAGTACTAGCTAGCACAAATCAACCAGAATGAAGGAATACTTCCCTGATTGAAGAAAAATCAAAAGTATGACTAGCTGTGTAGAAATCTCCATCTCAAATTTTGGCTTACTATCAGAAGACGATGATGTGTCAAGGTCTGTTTGAACTTGTCAAACCTTCAGAGTCTGGTTGAAATTCCTTTTGCCAAAGGACAAATAACATATGACTTATGATTCTTTGGATTCTGAATCTCCTTTAGAACTTCCGAGTTTGCCTGTTAAGAAAAATTTAGTGAACTTTCAAAGTTCCTGAGTCAATTAACGTTAGTGGCAAAAACATTGGAACATGTTTAAGAACAATATATGAGAATAAACATATCAAAATTATATCAATAGAGAGCATGTCTTCTTTGATGATAGCTTGTGGAAGCTGGGAAGATGGAATATCACAAACCCGATTAAGTGCTTGAATGAATGATTTTTTTTCTATCACAAACCCCATTTAGAGCATGTTTCGGATTTGCAATCCTGGGGTTTTCATGTAGAACTGCGATTTCGAGAAATAGATCAGAAGAATCCATGGTGGAATTTAACAAAACATTGTCGGAAAACAAAAAAAAAAGGGAAAAAGGTTAGGAAAATGCCGACGAGAGCTTTTTCATATCTCACTCACACTAATTAAGTGAATCTATTTTGTGTATTTTTGACTTATAATAGAATTGCGTAACATGTAATATTATTTATATTTTTTCTTCTTTTTATATTCTGACCTAGTATTGGTCAAACTTTTCAAAAACCTTATTGTATTATTATTTAATATTATTGTATTATATTTTAGATATTTAATATACAAATATTATAATTAGTATTTCCTTTATTATTTTTGGCCTGATTCATAATATTTTTAGTATTTTTTAATATTTTTATAAGTTCAAATCATTAATAGTGTTTTCTTTGTCTCCACTTAATTGATACTATAATATTTTTTATTTTAGACCATGCTACACTTGCCAACAAATAAAAAACGGTGTTTTAAAATTAAAATAAGCCACATATTCAAGTATTGCTTAAAATTTATGTATATAGTACAATTTACATTATAAGAAACACTTTAAAAAAGCATAGATACTTTTAACCACAGTAAAATTTTGCGCTCTGTTTAATTATAAAGGCAACATATTTTAATTGTGGCCTAAGATATTTTTAGTGTTCTCTTAAATAATAATAACGAAATAACTAAAAGAAAGGATAAAATTGATCGTGTAAAAATTTCAAATTCTATTTTTATTATTTAAATAAAAAACACTTTTATTTTTATATTATAAATGTAAAAAAACAAACAACCTTTGCTTTTTCTTTTTTTCTCCTTCTTGGGAATCCTCTCGTTCTCTCCTTTCTTCTCGAGAACCATCGCCTGAAAACTCAAACCATTTGTTCCTTCCCTCATATTCTTACTCTATCGGCTGAGTTTCTTAGTTGCATTCAAATGCTCGAACTTGCAATCTAAAACTCACTTAACCTAACTCATATCACTCTGATTTTGAGAACAAATTGTAAAAAGAATGACCTGAAGGTGTGAGAAACACAAGAAATGGGGTTTAAATTGAGTTTCACCAAAATAAATATTGAATCTTTTCGTTTGATGAAATACCAAGTTAACTTAGAACATAAAAATAAATAAACACAATTATTTTTATCCCGGTTCGCTGTTAACTAAGCTACTCCAGTTCATCCCTCAAGGTGATTTCACCTTCAACAAGGACTTTATCTATTATAACCAACAGATAACCTACAATAAGCCAGATAAACCTTATTAACACCCCCAATAAGTTTGTCGCTCCTTATTGCAAATTCACTCAAACTGCATGATGAGTCTTCTTGAGATCTGACCTTCACTTGGTCTCTCAAAGAATCAATCAACAACAGTTGAATACTTTCATTGTATTACAATTTGCTTCTTTTAAGCAGATTACACAAACGTTTCAGTACCAAAAAAAAACATCGAAGTGTTTTACAGTAAGATAGGGGCAACAACTCCTTGCCTATTTACAAAAGTATACATAGAAGATTTTTCTAAATAGTAGCAAAACGCTTTGGTGTAGTTTCGTTGAGCTTGATTTAATCCGATAGATTTTTCGTTGTAATGATGATTCTTACATTTCTTCAGCTTCCAAGTCTTACTTTTATAGCTTGTAAAAGAGATCTGGAAGGGTAGAAAGATAATCAGAAATGTAACTGTTTGTTCTCAACTATCATAATAAGAGTGGTCACAGTATAGTACGAAAGGACTGTCCTTACGCGACCTTAGAGGGTGAGGTCACATAGAACTTTTTGTACCTTTTGTACACCATCACACAATAATCATTTAGAACTTCTTCTTATCTTCAGAGGCTTCAAATAATTTGAATGTTGAAGCTTGTTGTAGAAGATTTACTCTTGAATCTTAGAAACTAAGTCTTGGAGTCTTTAGAACTTGTCCCATCAGAACCTCGTCTTTGGAGTCTACAACACTTGGTTATAAGAACTTGATTTTCTTCAGATCATCAGAACTTGTTCAGCAGAACCTCGTCTTCATAATCTTCAGAACTTGTTCAGCAGAACCTCGTCTTCATAATCTTCTGAACTTGTAACACGGAAGAAAAACTTTATAAGGCCTCCAAAGCTTAACCATAAAGTCACGATCAGAACCTCTTGTACTAACATTCCTAAGAACCGTTGCATAATAAGAATTCCAGAACCTTGACTTTAGCTGTAACACATAACCACATGATTTCTTCTAGTAGTGTCTATGTTCAGAACCTGATGATGTCACCCGCCTTGATACCAGACTTAGAACATTACAGCACCAACTACACACTAGAATGAAACCATTAGAGTACACAATTGTTCCTTATGATATCATGTAAAGTCATCTTAAAAATCTTAAAGTCATATGTAGAAACACTTCTTATTTTTAAAATCCCCTGTTTTTAATGATGAAAAAACCATGTATTTTGATATAAAAATTTATACAGGGTAATCACCGTAGCCGACAAATTCAGAGTTAAGCTCATAGCTCCTCCTGAATCTGTTATTCCCAAAATTTTCATTTATGGTTGTTCAGAGTCCCCCCTTGAGCCCAAGACTCACAAAATAAATTTTAAGTTTTCAAAACATAGAAATAGAGAAGGAACACTTCCCTACAACAACTCATCAGAGTCTGACTAGAACACCTAGTCTTTATCTTAAAACCTGGTTACTATCAGAACTTGATGAAGAATCAAAACTTGATTTTGAGCCTAATTGAATAATGTCACGCATCATGTATCAACACTTCTATTTCTTGATTCTAATATCACAAACAAAAAACTATACTTTTGGAGAAGTTAACTACTTCTCAAGCATCAGAGTTTGATTTGATATATTCTAATATATCATTCATTCAGACAGTTCACAACTTCTGAATATAACATAAGTTGCATAAGCACACGTATCAGAGCACATATTTTGAGTGGCATCTCTATATCTGAGCATGCATCAGAATGTTGACTTGACTTCCTTTCAAGAGAGCACAACTTCTGAAACTTTAAGTATGAATTCCATACTTTCAAAAAGTTCACAACTTCTGAACAATATGATATCAAGCAAGATTACCTTGCTTTCAGTAAGTTTATAACTTCTGAATTGTGTTTGGTACATCTGTTTGAATATTAATATACTCACAAATTGTACAACTTCTTATATATGAAATTAGAGTCGATTTCATCCATAAGGTTCTCAACCTTAGCATCAGGATCTTCATATTCAATCTGTCTTTAGAATACTCAGTGAACTTATTCAAAGTTCCTGGAATGAAACATCAAATAAACAGTTAGTAGAAACAACATTTTATATGTTTGAGTTTTAAGATTCTGAGAATAAATATTATCAAAATTATTTTAATTTCTTCCCTTTTGTCAAAAATCAAAAAGATATTCAAAGCAGAGAATTGTTTGGATAAAATTTAAGTTTTAAGTTCTATCTTGAAACATAAGGTTAAAAAGAAATGTTTGGTAAGGCTTTATGGAAATGAAAATATTGAGTCAGCACACATAAATCCAATCAAATCATAACAAAACAAAACAAAACATTTTATTAAATGAATAGAGAATAACAAGTATGACACAACAATGTTAAGACAAGGAAGACAGTCACACAACAAGAAAAAACAACCCCTAATAAACTAAACTTTGAAAACCTCACATCAAATTCTCAAGAGTATCCTCAGGGCTATTGCGATGAATGGCTCCAATAATCCTAACTCTGGTGAAGAGTACAAAGATAACTCTTGCAAAAGGTAAAAAGACCTGGTGCCTAGATATGGAATTAATGATTGAGTCTCTTAGGTAGTTAAAAATGGATTGAGGTAAGTTGATTCTAATATGACGAATGAGGAAATAGATGAAAACATTGTCATCATAGGTTAGGGTGTTCAGCATTGATCCTCTGGGTCTAAAGTTTGTCAACATAAACTGAAACCAAACTGAAGTCGTCGGAAGAAGATTAGCAAGATTGATGTGTCCATATTCATCAGAGATATTATGAATATAGCAGAGTCTATCCGCAAAAGAGTATCTATTTTAGAAGGCTTCTACGGTAACTTCAACTTGGGCACAACCAATAGCAACTGCAATAGATGCTAGGGTGATGATAATGGAGTTTCCAAAGACAAAAGAGTGGATGGAAGTGCCATATGATCTAACTTTAGCATGCATCCAAAAATCCTTGACTAGGTCAAGATAGATTAGTCCAAACAACACAACAAAGTAATTAGACCATCTTTGAGCATTTATACTCTGAGTAAGACCCAGATTATCACTGATTGACCTTGGAATATTTGGATGATGTTCACATATAATTACAAGAAGATATTCATCATCATGAAGGATTCTGGAATCCATGAGGAGAGAGAGAGAGAGAGAGAGAGAGAGAGAGAGAGAGAGAGAGAGAGAGAGAGAGAGAGAGAGATGAGAGTGTAGCAGCAGAAATGTTGAGACTAAGCCATTGGATTGACTTAACTCGCACAGATCAAATAAAAATTTCCATCGCGCTTTATTGTTTCCAGAGGAATGGGAAAAGAGTGAATAAACCCAAAAAGAGATGGGAGAGAATCTAGGTACGGGGGTTGGTTATGCAAAGGGAAGGTATTAGCACCCTAAATATCTATGGTACTTTGCAGGAACCTCTTTGAAAATTTGTGTATTTTGGCTATAAAAGGTGTATACAAAAATAGATGGTGGAGATGAGAAAAGAAGTATTTTTTACAATTTTATACATGTCGTTGTTGCGAACCTTTAGTGCCTACGTACCACCTTCCGTGCAATAGGGGAGCAGGGTACTCGTAGTTCACCTTAAAAAATTTAAAACACAAGGTGTGTTGGCTAATTTTAAGAGAATAGATGTTATCATCATATCCGAGTGGAAAATATACTTACTACCCACGACTATGAGAAATGAGATTTTGCATTGTCTCAAAGTGGAGGATATAGCTTGGATTTTAAAATCAACAAAGCCTCACTCAACACCCAAGTGGAAAATATCTCACTTCATTACATATCATAGAAGTATAGTAGATCACATCACTACAAGAATCGATAAGAGTCTAATCTTTTGAGAAAAGTTTTAAAGTAAAAGGCCAAAGTGGCAAATGGTTTGAATGAGGTTAATTGACTTTTAGTCTTCTCACAAAAAATGTCAAAGTATGATTAATATTAATTAGAATTTGATTAAGAAAAGATTTTGAAAATACATGGACCTATGTCCAAGTTTATTATGAAAGCGGTTCAAGTTAGAAAACAAGAAGAGTTTTGAAAAGGAGGGAGAAGATTTTTGAAATTAAAAAAGATGGGAGGAGATGAATGGACTATCCTAAAGCATAAGGTAAAAAGCTAAAGAAAATAACAATCTAACCAAAAAGAAGCCAACACTTGACATTAAGAGTTAATGTAGAATTCCCATCCTTTGGATTGAAACCAAGCAAGCAAAACATTATACTTCTTAGGAATACCAAGCTTCAGATGAATTAAATCTTCACAAAAATTGGGCAGAGTGACAGTTGTATACAGAGGAATTCTCAATCACAGACAAGGCATATAATCAGAATAACATGCACATAAAGAAAATCAACCCAATGTATTAGAGTAAACCCCATGAACTCCAGACAAAATAACTATAGAGTCAAAAGGTCACAAGGGTAATCAAGGCTTCTAATCCTAAGTCCAAGAGGTCCACAACTCCATTATGCCAAGGATAGTAACCAAATAGTCCAAGTAACCTTAAAGTTTTTAATGTTCAAGTTGATTATTAAGTATCTTCAAAAGGAAAAGAAAGCTCAAGTGATCCAAAATAAAAATACATAAAGATAAATGCTCAAATGAGCAAAGATAAAAAATAGCATGAAATGTAAATGCTAAAGTAAATGGTGTATAA